TGATCGACGCCTACAGCGTCGAGTCCGGTGTACATGATGTTCACCCATCCGTCCCTCGATGATAATACGAACAACGACATCAACGCTTTTCCAAGATCGTCGAAATTGTATTTTCTGTTTAACCAAACGTTGCGCTTGTCGGCCAGGCAGTCCGTCTTATTGCGTACATTTTTAATATCAGGCCCCTCGCAGTAATAAAAGGCACCCTTGAACAGCTGCACGCCCAAGATACCGAAGATTACGAAAAAAGTACAGCATATCAAAACGATGTTGCCGATAGGTCGTAAAGAGGATAACAATGTCTGAACAACCAGTTTCAAACCAGGAGCTCGATTAATAACCCGTAATGGTCTTAGTGACCTTAAAAGTCTAAAAACCTGCAACGATACGAATTATAGATTAGGGTTATTTGATAACAGGTGAGAAAGTTATGCGAAACGTGATTATCGTGTGTCCCAAAACAGTGTCAATTTCATATCGTTTCATTTATTCGAATGTTTATGAATAGTTTGAAAAGATATTTTTCAGGATAATTGTTTTTGATTAGCTTTTTATTAATCGCTTTAGATGATGCAGTGTTTCAAATATTAGAGTAATTTGTATACAATGCATTGTATACAATGAGTAATGTTCATGTATAACGTATATTGTAACATGTGCTAGGCATTGATTTATCCACATACTTATTCATCGATTGTTATTAGCATCCTGGCGTCAAGTGACGTCTCTGCTACGTCAAGTGACGTCCCTGTCACGTCATTAGCAACTCTGATATGCGTAAAGGCGTGACACGACAGGCACGACACTAAGTATTAAAGGGTTAATTATTTACTCGTTTTATAAAAATATCTCAATTTTAAGACGGTGTAAACTGTGTGCCTGTGTATACGCAGATTCCAACGAAATTAAATGCTACCTGTGTAGAAAATTTCGTGAAGTTGAACCGTAAATCAAAATGTGAAATATAGAGTATTCGAATTCGATGGAACAAATGAAAATCAGTGCTTTGATTTAATTAGAGAAATACGACGATTAAAAACAAATTTATTCTATTTTATACCGTTGAATATAATCTGCGCAAATCTCTTTGGCGTGTTTTCTTCGCATTTTATATATAATGAAAAGGAGACAGAAAGACAAAGAAGAGAAACAAATGTAAAAGTCAATTTACGTTAGAATCACGTTAAAGAGAAAAACGTACCCTCAGTATTCCAAATATTCTTGGACTACTCGCCGACAATAAGGACATTGATAAGTCGATTATGGAAATGATCACAAGAACTCCGTCCATAATATTCCATCCTGAAGTAAAATAAGCGTCGGATCCGTACAGCATACCAGATGCAACAACCTGCGACAAATTGTAATCCGTTTTCGTGGAAGATATTCTCTCTGTTTTTCGCAGAGATATCAAAACTTCTTTGTTACCTTGATAAACATCTCAACAGCAAACACCGCGGTAAAAATGTAATTCGCAGTGGATAAAAAAAGTCTCTCTCCGCTATCCGGTGGTATATTTGGCCGTTCCATCGCCAGTGTGATACAATTCAGACCAATGAAAAAGAGAACCACGTTATCGAACCATCTTTGATCGACTAACTGCCGACATAAAACGCGAAATCTGAAACGTAAATACGTTTGCAATTTGTGGAACGATCGTTCGTTGTCAAATCGAGGAACACACTTAATCATAGTAAAAATTTGTATCGACGATATTTAAGAGTATTTAACAATCCGACGATATTGAATTTTCATTTAAAAAAAAAAAGGAATATTAAAAAATGTATTAACTAATTCAATCGTATTTTTCTTGTTTCGAAATACTTGAAGTAAATAGATTTCTTTTTAAGAAAATATCGCACATAAAGCGTGGCGCGCACACACAAACGTACCTGTTATTCGGTGGAAAAATGTAAAGCGAGTAATCATCACGTTCCTTAAGGCATCCTTTCGGTTCAAAAAACATGAATATTTTTTTAATTCTCTCGATGCTGCTTGCACTACCATGGCCATTCAAGGGAGGCGTCTGTTCGTCTGTACGGGGATTGTCATCATCTTGATCGGGAAGTCGTTTAATTCTGGGCAGTGGACCAGTCTCCATTGACAGATTATTGATTGTACGTGCCGTTGAGCATTGCATAGGCACCTCGTCTAGAGGTAAGGTTTTTCTCGTCGGCGACTGAATGTTTTCGTTTCCACGCAACGAGTTCCTTCGCGAAAGATCGCTAATCCATCGCATCTTTAAAACATATTAATCCCCGTGATTACTTTATTACGAATTACCAAAGTTTATCTTTCGTATTTGATTGCTAGAATATCTTTTACTTGGAAAACCAAGTCGTGTTGACGATTAATATTTGTAAATTTCTTCGTAAAAATGTAACTCTTATTCCTACGGTATTATTACGATTTCGATACAAATTTTCATATTTTCCATGTAAAATTTGAAATAATTTAATCAATTCGATCTCAAAATCAACCGACGATTAATTTTGAAAATACGTTTGCGTCTTTTCTACACGCGTTTTTCTCTATATCTAGACTTTTAATTTTTTGTTATTTATTTATTTACATTTTACATTTTGTCCAGTAGGACATTTGGTAAAATATTACAGCTTAGTGGTATAATAATGTAACACGTGGATGGCTACCCCCAGTGAGATACCATCTTCGAATTTGATCGATAGACTTTTAACATACGCGAAAAAGAAATATTGCGTTTCATAACGAGTTTGAAATTTTTGACAAGACTCACCTGATTAGGCGTTGCTGTGTAACGCCGTATAGAGGAGCTACGGCTTGCGATGGAATTATTAGGGCTGAGACTACGATTATTGCTTGTTAGGACGGTCGTTCGATTATTCGGTGTGTCGCTTTGCGTGTCGTTTCTTATCGAACCGTGTAAATAACCGCCGTTGAAACTGAAAGGTAATTTTGCGAAAATTACCACGGCAAAGGAGAAACTGGAGCATAAACATGATCATCTATTGTGAACAACGTTTATCGCGGACTACGTTACTGTTACATCGGTGTTTCGAATACGACGTTACCATCAATTTGCATTACTTGCATATTTCGCTTCGACAACATTCTCCGGCAAATAATTGAACAAGAAAACAGAATTAGTAATTTAACTTGTAGATATTACGTTTGACTATGTGCATGAATAAATTTACCTTGGTTGCGATATGATGAATTATTGAAAACCTAACTGGCGAACGAACTGCCACGAATAGATTTTTACCATTTCTTTCTATAGTACACTCGTAATTTCAACGTAAATGATATCTTTGTATTACGCCTTAACGATGGTATTTTAATTCTCATTATTCAATGTAGTTTTGCTACCCGCTATGCTTTATGCAACTAAAATCTTGCGATTGAATTTTCATCGCCTTTTCGCCGGATAACCATATGCAAATGAGGAAGAAAATAATGGTTTAGCAAATTTTCAGTTACAGCGAAGCAGTTATGCCACGTATTACGCAATGACCGAGTCGTTAACCAATATGAAGTATTTATGGATGACCGTAATCATCTTTGACAAAGATTGATGTTACTTCCCTTAAACCGGTTGCACACGTAACTGCATACTCGTGCGCTATGCAAATCTATCGCACGAGTATACGCGAACGTTTGTGCGGTAATAGTGCGCCCTGTGGGGGCTATACGACCAAGGTATACTCGCACAAAAAATTACACGGCTTTACACTGATTAAAAATTGAAACAACGACTGTTTTTTTTTTTAGAAGGTTACAGTAAGATAGCGAAGCTCCACAGTGGCGTACTAAGGTACACACAGAGTTAAAAACAGAGTAACTGTTTAAAAATTGGTCTTGAGTTTATTGAAAAAGTTGGAAGAATTCGTTTACTAGATGACGCGTAAGAAAATTTTTTTTTTTTTTTTTTTTAAGGAACCGCAGTTGGTCGGAATTTCGAAGAAGATAGCAAAGATCGCTTCTTACAACTCTTTCATCTGAGGCTGCGATGGAAATTTAAAAAGCACGCTCTGTAGATTTATGACTGTTACATGCACACTGAAAGTTTCATGTATAAAACTCGTAAGGATTATGAGAACCTAAGCTAGAGGGTGGGTCAACAAACAAATTGTAGCTCCCGCTCTAAGGAATATACCTAAACGTTATTTTATATTATTCAACTGTTATCTGTATTACTTTATTAATTCAATATTACCCACAGTGGCTGCAAAAGATATTTCTACACCACCACGGTTGTTATTATCTTTACACGCTAACTAAATCCGACTGTATTTTCTATCATTTAATGAAAATGATAAAAGTTCGATACTATGAGAATGAAACGTAGAATCTAATAAAAAAAAAAAAAAAAAAAGAAATAAGAATATGTATGTCGGAGGTGAAAGGACATCGGGACCTTTCTTTACCCTAATCCCTAATACCCTAATTCAGATGTTTACGACGACGACATTTAAACAATAAACGAAGAAATAGTTATGCGGGCACTTCATGACGATGGGTTTGGGCTCGAGCTGACATAATGAGTCACCGAACGTACCCAGGGTCACGGGAGAGACGTGTAATAAAGGAAGTAGGAAATAGTTGTGCAGCTCTGCTCAAAAACAGAGATTGACCCGAGGAGTGGGAAAAGGACTATATAAGAGCAGTTTCATTTGGATTACGAGTTAGTTAGTCGTTGAGCGAATTGCTGATTGAGTTATCGAGAGAGTTATCAGAATCGTGTATTACGTTGGCATTCGTCATCCCGTGGACCGTGGATTCGTTATCGAACCTGAATTCGTTATCATCAACATCTCGACCATCCTATTGCCGTCTAGACCACCCGATCGCCGCGAATATTCGTAATTTGTGTATCGCAACTGATCGTATCGATAAACCTTTACCGTGACTACCATGGCAAATTCGAGAGAAAATTCTTCAGACGCGCACACTTCCAATCCTAATCCGATATGTACAAATACTCTTCGTAACCACTGTGTATATTATTTCCAAATATCCTTTTATTACGCATATCGTCTTGATTTTATTCACAACTTACGTTGAATTGGAACCGAGTAGGGTGCTTCGACCGTTATTTAGTACAGTAGCTCTACTAAGAGGTTCGTCCTCCGATTGCGACCAACGTTTCCTCCGTAGAGATGGCCGTGATAATTTCCACGAGTAGCCTCTTTGTATCCTTGGCGGACTGTAGCAAGGAACAGTCACGTAACTTACGAGTCGAAAGATTATATTCATCTTCGCGTTTCGTATAATTTATTTCAAGTTGTACTTGGTGGAAAAGAGATATTACGGGTGGGACGCGCGTACCTTGAACTGGATGATTCTCTCGTTGCTGGATTAACAACAGCAGTGACGAGGCTTATTCGTCGAGGAAACTGTCCGGCAATAAGGTTTTTCGTTGATATTTTATTTGAAACGTCTGGTAGCTTCAACAGGCCGGAAGGAATACTACACTGACTCTGGAAAAATAATATTTTCGTAGAAAGTTACTGGAAATCGATGAATATTTTCAGCCTGCTATAAGAATATTCAGACATTTATACAATAAATGTTAAGCTAGAAAATTCCAATATTCCATTACAATTGCTATTTATTTCTTCAAATAGATCAGATATATTTGTTATATATTTACCGAGTGGCAATTACTTGGAAACGAGTACTAATTATTAATTTACTTTTTAGCCTAGTTACACTTTGCCACGATACGAGCATCGTATTAAACAACGCAGATGTTTGAAAGATAGTACACGTACGCCTGAACGATCGATGGATTCGATGGACAATGCCGCTGTAGGATAAACAGCTCGACAATTTAGATCTCTGTAGCCGACATCGAGCGTGGTGTTGGGTGAATCCTGAGGGGTGGCTGCCGTGTGAGTAATTATCGGTGGTTGTCCAGCAGCGCCCATCATCTTATTCTCCTTTTGAATGTTACACTTTGGCTCGTCTATCTGATGCTTCCACACGGTGTTCTGCTTTTCCCTGCTGTTGTTGTCTTTGTACTTGCGCAACTCCTCAGCGCTCTGCCACGAATTCTTTCGATCCTACGTTCAAATATTTACACGCTAAGATAAAATCGTTTTTCAGTTTTCTTCTCGCGCATACAAATGTACGTGCTGTCCATAAAAATGCGCGAGTAAATGCGATCCAACACGTGGCCATCTTCGAGACGAAGATCGTTGTGTCCCACAGATTGACGAATAATCGGCACCGTTAAACGATTGCTGCGATTTATTTCGAAAAAATTTGATTAATTCGAGTGATTTGCTTCTACGAGTGTAAACCGGAAATAATCGCCAAAGACATGTATTTAACGTTTGCACAAGTAAATGTTTTAGAATCACTTTGACGTTGATTCGTGAAATTGGAAGCTAGTGATTTCATATTAGAAAATAAATTGAAAGGAGCGTATGCTATTAAAAGTAGCGTTGTAAGAGATGTTAGTGAAACTGATCCACGACAAACACCGAGATAAATGGCGCTCGAATAGAAAGTAAGCCATTATTCGTCACTTGGCTCGAGCATAAGAGCAAAAGACAAATGGACAAGTGGATAGAGCGTGAGTTATGCAGACACTCAGGCGAATGAAGATAGTCAATGTTAGTTCAGATAAACAAGCGAAGTTCATTTTTAGATCAGATAGTCGCTTGTACGAGGATACTTCAAGATGATAAATTCGTAAAGATGGGCGTATCATTTTCGTGTATCACGAAAGATGAATTATTCGTTGCAGCTTTCTATAATGTATACTTGCGTCAAGAACGTATTACAAGCAAACGGAGCAAACCTCTAGGAAATTCAGGAGAAGCAAAATGGAACCAAAATGATGTCAAAGTGAAAGTTAACACGGAATCAAAATAGGAAATAAAATGAAACTAAACTAAAAATCGGAGTAAAATCAGGATAAAAATCAGGAGGATGGCTATGCAAAATGTTTAAGGATTAGAATATGAAATATGATGGAAGTAGTGAAATATTTTTCACATCGTCCCAATTCCTCCTATTTTATATCTGAAAATATTTGTTCTTCCAAATACCTGTACTCTCATTGTGTCGAAACTACGAAAGTAAATGCAGCGTTCGAGGAACCTGGAATTCTAAACTCAGCGATTTCCTAAGAAAAGTAAACACTTTATCCTGTATAAAACTAAAGTATTGTTTGATTTATGTCTTCCTTAGCGACACAAGCAATTTTTTTGCCAGAAGATTCTAAGCAGACGCGTGCTTTATATATTTTAATTTGATTAATGGTGATAGGAGCTGTCCACTGATCAATAAATAAAGCTCCTTTGATAGATTGCTCTTTACCCTCTCTTCTTCCAACAAATTGCTTCTTGCACAGAATATTTCGGAAACCTGTACGTATACATAACCCGAGATGATCGATAAAGCCTGAAGAGGAGAAAGATGCAAGAACCTCGTGACGAACCTGTATGTTCTCATACTATACTTCAAATATCTTTGGCTTTTTCAGTTATGGACCAGCTGTTGTTTGCATGATTAATGTATCCCAGAGAATATAAGACGATCCATACGAGATCTCGCTATGTTTACAGAGAACAATTCCAAAGTGAATCTGTTTGTTCGCGTTACTCGTTTAGGGGATATTTTCTGTCCAAGGGCGCCATCCAATTGTTGAAATTTAGACAATTACAACGTCTCTTTTGCAAGTTTCTTTTCTCTCCTTTTTTTTTTTTTTTTTTTACTCTTTTTTAAACGAATGGAAATTACGAGAATTCGATTAATTTTTCTTTTTCATCGATATTCTTTCTCCCATCCGGATCCTACGATCTTACAATTATTTTACGATTCTCCAGATCCTATCGTCCTATGAGACTTATTCTTAATTTTATGTGGAAACATTTTCGCTAAATGATGGAAATTCTGTTGGATTCTGAGATTAGCGGTCGCGCGGTTACTATCGATGATTAATCAACATCGATCTTCTTACCTGCGTGTATGTGTCGCTATCAGTGATCGAGTGAGATCTCGATATTCTCGAGGAACCATCGTCACTGCCCATCCCTGCTTCTTTCGCCGCGAGTCTCGCCATCTCTCTCTGTTCTCGCTCTCTTCTTTCATTTCTCTGAAAAAGTTCATGTTTCGATATTTATAACATTTCGTAATTCGCCGTACACAGCGAGTGAACCGAACGAACCGACTCAAACTATAACGTTTATATCGATGATCAACAGAGTATAATCGAGTTATAAAATATTCGCGAATTTTATTCAATTTCCTGTAAGTACAAATCGATTTGTACGTTACGATAGACGACAGGAAAATACTAGATATTCGATGAGACGGTTTTAATCCTTAGACTCTTAATTTCACTTGATTCGGATACAGGAAACTCGTTTAATTAATTGGAGGCTGGATTTACGATAAATTCTCGATCAAATTTCAGTCGCTCTATGTGGTTAATAACGTGGTTAATAATTCTGGTGTGCGCCGGAATTGTCCAGCAAATGAACGTAAATTAGCGACAAACGTACCTCGGAGGAGAATCCTTCGACGAGAATGGCGACGAGCAGATTGAAGAGGACGTAATTGCCGAATGTCATCAACGCGACGAAGTAGAGGGCCGCCCAATGAGACGTTTTCTGCATACCATTGAACAACACGACGTTCCAATCTTCCTGCGTCAAGATCTATGTAAAAAGGAAAATGGAAAATGCCTGTTTATACGCAACACAAGCAATCGATGGTTACGCTTCAAACGATAGGCAAAACAGAATGTTTCTATATTCACGACAAACAAAAGTATCGAAGCTAGAAAGTTATTCTGTCTTGTTGAATCTGCTATTTAATTGCTCTTAATAGTAATAATACAATCGTTCGTGTATTCTTAGAAATAGGAACTAGCTTATGTAAATCATCGTTATCGGCTAGTTCTACACATTGTGATAAGTTGAAGGGAACGAAAAGAAAAAGAGGAGAAGACAGATGAAAGATAGCAATGTACGATCAGTATCCGGTCGATATTCTTACTCTATGGGATGTCAGTTACTTGCGGCCGCTTAATCGCGAATTTCTCTCTGCTTTCTCTCCGCGTTCTTCTCGGCAAAAGTGATTTTATTTTGATCTTTCTCGCCGCGGCGTCTCTACAACATGGCATCACAACAACGTACGGCTATTTATTCAAAAAGGGTAAGACGATGATACGCGACAGCGTAACGTAATCCGTGTAATCGATTAACTGCTCTCGGGCCGACAACGAACCGTGTTAATCGCCGCGACAAACAAATCGTTATTCACTCTCCGTTTAATTCTATCGGCAGTCGCGAGAAATCACTGACGAGCCTCCGACGATCCGAAGGGAAAGTAACCGAGAATGAAAAAATTCCAGAGGAAAAAACGTATCGGTTAGAACAAAAAAAAAAAAAAAAAAAAAAGGAAAAG